AAGCACTGTATTATCACTTGGTTATTTATTATGTTTTAGTTAGTTTATATGTCACAATTATGGATATGCGTTTATGAGAATACTTTTGTACGTTTAGGGCATTTTACACAGTAGTGCCACATCATTTCTTTTTATTACATTTTCATCTATCATAAGGTATATGATTGGATGTTGGCAGCTTATTTAGATCCACTTAGTATAGGCTTAGTAGCGCAGGAGGTTCACATATTAGATTTGGCGCGGGTAGGGTGCATTCGCCCCTACCTGGAAATACAAATTCACATATATATGATTTTGTGCAGCCCTGCCACCCTGTAGCAGTATTTGTTCTATAGGGCGTCGGGGAAGCAGTTAAATGAGGTCATACAGATGTAAGCAAGCCGAACATGAAATCACACTGACAGTCAACTTGAAAGTAGAGTGAATTCAAAGCCTCACAGATGTGAACCAGGGCTAGGTGTGGCCTGCAAAGGATTAAACTCAGTAGTACCACTCACTACTCCGGTATGCAACAGAACAATATGAACCTGCACAGCTGTCAGATTGGAACCAGTGGCTGTGCAGATGCTGCATCCCTATAGACATGAATGTGGATATGCCGAACACCTCTTTGGGCAGACAGGCCTTCACAGGTGTGTGGATAGGTACACTCGTGAATGAAGCCTTATGTCCTGGTTCACAATAGTGCGACTTATGCGATTTGACCGTTCCAAATAGCATGACAAGTCACACCCTATTTGTGCCTATGGAACTGTTCAAATCGGTGCAGCGCCGACTTTGAAAAAAGGTCCCTGCACTATTTTTGACGATTTCATGTGCGACTTGCATAGACAAAGATTTTTTTTATAAGTAAACCTACTCTAAAACCAAACTATGTAAAACCTCCCGAAAAATAAAGACCAAAAATAAATCATAATGGTGAAACACATCAAGTAGATGTGGCCTATGGGCTGGGACATTATGGATTCAGTTGTATTTCTGACAGGTGATAAAAACTGTTTGGAAGAGCAGGTATTGCAAGTGTATGATTTGCTTTGGTCCCATGGGCACAGCTGTGTAAAATCTAGTAAACATACTGCAGTCAGATAGTGCTTAGGGATATGTAATCCTTAAACCACTTCCAGACCGGACACTTTTACCCCCTTCCTGACCAGGGTAATTTTCAGCTTTCAACGCTATCACACTTTGAATTACAATTGCGCGGTCATGCAACGCTGTACCCAAATGAATTTTTTACCATTTTTTTGAGACAGATAAAGCTTTATTTTGGTGGTATTTATTCACCGCTGGATTTTTATTTTTTTTGCTATGTAAATGAAAATGTCCAAAAATTTTGAAAAAAAGTGTTTTTTTTATATAAAATTTTGCAAATAAATAATATTTCATCATAAATCTTGGCCAAAATTTATTCCGTTATCTTTTTAGTAAAAAAAAAAAAAAAATCCAAATTAGTTTATAACCAAAAAGTATAATTTTTAAACATTTTTTTTTACATTTTTATTTTATTTTTTTATATTATTTTTTTATTTTATTTTTTTTTTTTTTACATACTGTCACCCTAGCAGTACAGTGTGACCATGGTGACACTGTACTACTTGTGGGGGGTGATGAAGATTTTTTTTTTTTTTTTTTACACTGATTGCTTTTACACCCATATAGGATTCAATCATTTCTCTTTCTCTCTGTCTGCATTCTTGCACTCATTGAGAAGTACTGAGTGAGCTGTGATTGGTCACAGCTTGTCACATGGTACAAGGCTGTTGTGAATAGCCTTGTACCATGTGACCTCTGTGATCATTCACAGATTTCACACATAGTAAGCAATGATGTCACAAGTGACATCTTGCTTACTACTTTTCATGTGATCACTGATTGGCCAATCAGTGATCACATGATCCGGACCTCGTACAGAGGTCCCGTCCGACGATCGGTGTTTCACTGTGTCCGGAGGTCACAGCGGGCACCGGATCACGGTGCTGCGCACTCCCAAGGAGCGCGCACAAGCAGGGTGCGGGGAGGCCGTTTATAAATGGCCACCCAACCCTGCAGTGCCACGTGCCTGGCCGTTTATATGCAACGGCCGGTCGGGAAGTGGTTAAAGAGACACTGCTCAGTACAAGTAAATGGAATTAATGGAGAACTATAATGGGCTGGCGCTGTAAGCTGAAACATGTGCAGCTCAATTGCAGCGGAGAAGACAGCGAGCAGGCTGTTAAGGGCATTTTAATGCAGAAGAGGTGCATTGCATGTCTCTTCTGCAATAAAAGTGCCTGCTCCCTGTTTCTCACAGCAAAACTTCAGTTCTGCATTAATTGCAGAAAAGACCTGCAGCACCTCCTCTGCAATTCACTACACCTACCTGTCTGCTCACAGTGATCTCCAGAATGTAAACTGAGCTGTGCATGTACAGCTCAGCTTACAGCTGTCAGCCAGATCCCTGTGTGCTGGAATGATGTTATCTTTGGAAAGGTGAATATTTGTTCCTTTAGATCCATTTGAACTCAACAGTTTGCTGTGGCTAACTTCTCCAGCTTTGCCTTATTTTCCTCAGTTAAATCAGTCCAAATATACCTTGTCACCTCCAGCATTCCCTTACTCTTGCAGAGTTATACAAACTGCTCTTCTGTACTGAAATTGCTTCCTCTGATTTTACTGCACACTGAGAGCTTCTCACAGTGTGCATTAAAAGCTGCAGCAAGTCTAACAGAAGTCTCTTTTCCTGGCTGGAAGATGTCCATTACAATCTAGCCCTTTCCTCCCCAGCTTTACGGGCCCTGGACCACGTTTTCCATTCATTGGATTTCAGTTCTTTCACACATAGAGGCTCAACATCACATCACATTTAGGTGTTACCTAGCAGTCTCTATGCATATACAGCCTGCCTAGAAACACCCACTCCTCCAAACTCCAAACCATCAAGTAATTATGGTATTTATATAACCTTTCCCAAGAACCAACCCACTGCTAGCATCAGGGCTGAGGGCTCTTGAGATTGGTGTTTTGATGATTTTACGAAGCTAAATATAGCACCACTACTGCTCCTCCTTACAGCCATGATCCCCGCATTGCATAGAGAAACACAGAGATCCAGTGATGATATCACTGGATCTAAAATAAGGTATGTAATGAAAATGGATAGGTTTTATTACATTGTAAAAAACTGTCAGTAGTAAGTTGATGGGGGGTGGATGGGAAAGAACCAGGGAAAGCAAGATACACACAAATTAAACTTCATCTTTAATGGAATAAAGTTGATTTTAAATTAAATGTATCTGATCTCAAAACTATTCAAAGGGAAAGAGACAGATGGACTTTTGAGGTGCCAGAATGCAGACAGTATAGATAAAATGAATTACTTTTGTTAATTTTACAACACAATCATATTTTTAAAAACACGTGATTAAAAATGTTTGCAATATACAAAATATATTGATACAGATACAAAATGCCTCCCTATAACTAGTAACTACGAATATAAAAAAAAAAACCACTGTTTGTAGATCAATACAGGTGTTCCATCCAATGACCTCTATACAAGATTGAGGTGTCTTCCATGGGTGGAAGTTGCCTCTGTGTTTTGTGGGATTCCCCACTTCTTCAGGAGAGAGCTAGGCAATCTATGAAATACACAAAAAGTACATAATTACACATAGATGTAATAAATGTCATCATACAACATAAAATAGTATACAGCAGCTCAACAATCCAATAGGGGGTCCAAAAAGCTTGGTGGGAAGGCCATTGGCCACTGATATTTCCTGGGGGCAGGTGTGGGAGCTGATTCAAGTGGCACCCTAAATATGATCATAAGCTATAAATAAATATATCTAAAATATCACAAAAAGATGTACCATCCAGTTGGTAATATCTGATCACAAAGGTCTTAAAAAGCCATGAGCAGGTACAGTCAATGGCGTACTTAGGTTTCGTGCTGCCCTAGGCAACACAAAAATTAGCTCCCCCACGAGAGACCCTGACACCGACCAACACCCCCCTCCCCCACGGAAAGAGCCTGACATTGACCAACAACACTCCAGCCCCCCCACCCGAGATTGCCTTCCACTACCACCACCCCCCATACACTGGCAAGCCCCCCCCCCCCCCCCCCAGACGCTGCAAGAGAAAAGACACTCACCTTCACAGCTCTGGACATCTTTGGAAACAAGATTCAGGCTCTGCATACACCATCAAGCAGCCCACAGCCTCTCTCAGATCCCTCCTGTTCCCCATGCTGCATGTGTCCCTTCTTCCATCCCTTCCATTGGGGGGTGGCGCTGCCCCCCTGAATGATGCTGCTGCCCTCCTGAAAAATGCAGCTGCAGACAGAACAGGGAGAAGATGGGGATTTCAAATCCCTGGACCGCTACCACAGCTGTGTGGGCACTGAAAGCTCATCTCTCACAGAGGTGAGTACAGCAGGGACCAGGGGTGAAGATGCTGTAGGTTGTTAGTTCACCTTTAATTTTTTCTGAAAAGGTAAACTGACACTAGAATCCATAAAATGAATTGAACTATTGTTGCCCAAAATATGTTTGTTTTTTTTTTCTTTGTTTTAACCACCTTCCGCCCGCACTATAGTACAATGACGGGCGCAAGGTGGTTCTCTCGTTCTGATAGGACGTCATATGACGTCCTACCATTCTCACTGCGCGCATGTGCGGCTCAGGGAGCGCGCAGCGTGGCGATCGCCGGTACGCTGTGGCCCTCGGACACAGCAGATCACGGAAAGAGAGCCGAAGATGTCGGCTCGGTCATGTGATCAGCTGTGTCCAATCACAGCTGATCACATGTTAACATGGAAATGCCGGTTATCTGCATTTCTCTCCTCTCTCGAGCTGTCACGCTGACAGAGGAGAGGAGAGCCGGTAATTGGCTTTCCGCGTAGGGGTCATGTACACTGATCATCAGGGCACTGATGATCAGTGTGCCCTGATGATCAGTGTGGCCCCAGAAGTGCCACCTGTCAGTGCTCTACAGTGCCAAGTGCCAGTGCCCATCAGTGCCACATAGTGCATACCAGTGCACATCAATGCCACATATCAGTGCCCATCTGAGCTGCCCTTTCAATGTCACCCGTCAGTGCCACCTATCAATGCCAATCAGTGCCAGTGTCACCTATCAGTGCCTAGTGTGCACCTATCAGTGCGCATCAGTGCCACCTAACAGTGCCAGTCAGTGCCGCCTATCAGTGCCATATATCAGTGTCATGTATCAGTGCTGCCTTTCAGTGCCCATCAGTGATGCCTGTCAATCCCCATCAGTGCAACCTACCAGTGCCTCCTCATCAGTGTCCATCAGTGCAGCCTATCAGTGCCCAGCAGCCTCATTAGCGCACATCAGTGAAAGAGAAAAATCACTTATTTACAAAACTGTATAACAAAAACTAAGAAAAAATGGTTTTTTTTTTAATTTTCTGTGGTTTTTGGTTTGTTTAAGAAAAAAATCAAAATCCCAGAGGTGATTAAATACCACCAAAAAAAGCTCTATCTGTCTCAAAAAAATGATAAAAATTTCATATGGGTACAGTGTTGCATGACCGCGCAATTGTCATAACAATCAAAGTGTGACAGCGCTGAAAGTTGGAAATTGGCCTGGGCAGGAAGGGGGTATAAGTGCCCTGTAGGCTAGTGGTTAAGGAGCAGTAAACACACGGGGTGTGCCAAAAGTGTTCTTCCATGAGCCCAGGGAGTTTTGCCATGTGATACAGCAGGGATTTAGCAAGGGTATGGGAGTGTCCCTTTTCCAGTCTAAATGCTGCGCTATACAGTTGATTACAGGAGTCTGATATCAACACTGATTCAATTATTTATATTACTTGCATGTTTTGTTTTTTTCCATGAATCCATAAGTGCCTTAACTGGTGCTTTCTTATACCTGTCTTGTAGTTCAGCATTACCGTAGATGACAAAACCCAATCAAAAACATCACATACTGAATAATAATAATAATCGGTGCATTCCGTAAATACAACAAGTTCAGATATGAATGGAGCCCAGTCACAAGCTGGGTCCAGTAACAGCTGAATTAAAATCATCAGCAGAATCAGAGTCAAAGGGTGGGATCCCAAGTGTAAAAACACTTTTTCTGAACTGCGCCTTTTAGGGCTAGGCCTTTTTAGCTAAGTCCAGGGCAATTTTTTTTGCTATGGGCCTCAGGGCCTAGCCAGTGCACAATTGCACAGCCACTTATTTATTTTTCTCCCACCGTTTTGTCACCTTTCACTTTTGTGTGTGTATGTGTTTTTTTTCTTTCTCAGTAGGCTGGTGGGTGTGGGTCCTCTGGCCTGCCCTGAAGTCTGGGGGGAGGATGCATGGCCATTAGGTTCCTTCCTCCCCTGTTCCTTGGGGCTCTCTCTTCGGGAGAGCTCCCTGACCTAGTACTTGGTGGTAGGCTTCGGCTTGCCACATGGAAAGGGGTCCACCAGGCCTTTTGACTAGGTCAGGGGTAGGCAACCTGAGAGCCGCAGGACTACAAGTTCCATCATGTCTCTGCAAGTCATAACTGTAATTGTCAGTTTTGTAATCTTTGAAATGCCTCATGGGAAATGTAGTTCCACAACAGCTAGAGAGCCACAGGTTGCCTACCCCTGGGCTAGGTGGACCATGTGGAAACCTTTGTCTCTGTCAGGAGCCTTGCGCCCCAGGGGATCAGGGTAGAAATCCTACCCCTTCAAGTGGGTGGACTAAAGCACACCCCTAAGTGCACTTTTTTGTGTTTGTGTTTTGCACCTGCATGTTTTTTGTTCACTTACAGGTTTTTGTATTTCCCACCTTTGCGGATTCTTAAAAAAAGAAGCAGAGGTCAGCAATGTACAAGCAGCGAGGTATGAAGTTGACAAAAATCTCAGTCAAAAGTCCAGGCCGAGGTCAGTAACAGAAATAAACAACTAACATAAGCAGGAAAGGGTAATCCAAAAGCAGGTCAGTTGGAAGTTGGGTCAATAACAAGGTCCATATACGTTTTGGGATCAGAGTCAAAGGAGAAAAGAATGAAAGACCATTCAGCATTGACACTGTGCAGAGCTCAGGTTTAAATAGCCAGCTTGGCACCAGTAGATGTACTGCATGCAATTTGTGTGTTTCAGCACCACCTGTTGCATTCCCCATTCTAAAATTAAAAAAAAAAAAAAAACAGAGCAGGAACCCCTTATAATGGCCATAGCAGCATCTACCAAAAACGGACCCTTCTGTAGACTGACACTATAAAATGAACCTTTGGCAAGGCTAAAAAACATAAGCAGTAAGAGGCTGAATGTGGGCAGCACAGTGGCTAAATGGTTAGCACTTCCACCTGGCAGTACTAGGGTCGTTGGTTCAAATCCCAACCTTGGCACCACCTGGCTGGAGCTTGCATGTTCTCCCTGTGCCTGCATGGGCTTCCTCCAACACTACAAAAGACATGCCGATAGATTAATTGGCTCTTGTCTAAATTGGCCCTAGTATATGTATGTATGAATGTTAGGGAGTTAGGGACCTTAGATTGTACGCCCCTTGAGGGTTAGGGACTGATGTGAATGTACAATATATTGTAAAGCACTGCGTACATTGATGGTGCTATATAAGTACCTGAAATAAATAAAATTTACCTCTATGTAGCTGCAAGCACTGTGTAGCAATTGAGCCTCAAAATGTAAAGGGGCATTATACCCAATAGCAAAAATTTATTATATTACAGCTGATTCTTAGAGGTTGTGACTGCATTCGTTTTCTTATTTTAAGGCTCTCTTTCCTTTAAATTCACCTGGTGATCCAGACCAGTAACTTATTATTTTTCAACTTTCCTTACCAGACCAAGCTGTCCACCAAAATGGCAGTTGGAGAGTTAAGACAAACCATCTACCACCGAAAGGGGTACTTACAGTGGTCAGCTTTCATTCAGTTATTTGGACATAAAGAAACCGGGTAGTGGGAAGGTCAGAAGGCACCTTGCCCCATATACTAAATATTCTTATCAGCCAATGAATGAATTTGACAATGCCACAAAAAATTAGATATTTATGTCTGTTAAAATTATATTCTTACACTTCACAATAAAAGCATCATATAAAAAGAAAACAGTGACATGTGGGTCGAGGAGGTTGCATATATGATGAGCAATGCAAAATCAAGTGCCTCAGGTACTGACGTCTACATGTTTCACCTAGGTTGGTGAAATCAGGAAGTTTTCTATTACCAGAAAACTACTACAGAAAACTACTATATTGAAGTAAAACAATTATCGGAAAACAGTACAATATTAATTACTATCCTCCATATTGGAACTGGGTTGCAAGTATACTCTCACCACAATTGTGTAGCCACACTCGCCTAAAACCATGTGCAGAATGGGAATTCAATTCACCCATGGAAGATGGAAAGTAAATAGAGGTTCCTGAATGCATCTCAGAGGGCAGGTCCAAGGCAATGTACAGTGACCACAGAGGAGGTACAACACCATGCTTCTAAAAAATATGTTTTGTACATAAATTCAACATATACTGTATATATTTATCTATAAATTTGCTCCCCCAACTTACTCAATGTTGCATACAAACGAAAGTATCATTATCTAAAATAACCAGTAGAGGGCACTCACGCTGTATGACTTCACCGAGGCTGCTATATTGAGAATTGAAGATTGCTATATTTATTTATTTCAGGTACTTCTATAGCCCAATCAATGTATGCAGCGCTTTACATATATATTGTACATTCACATCAGTCCCTAACCCTCAAGGGGTGTACAATCTAAGGTCCCTAACTTACATTCATACATACACATACTAGGACCAATTTAGACAGGAGACAATTAACCTACCAGCATGTCTTTGAAGTGTGGGAGGAAACTGGAGTACCCGGAGGAAACCCACGCAGGGAGAACATGCAAACTCCAGGCAGGTGGTGCCATGGTTGGGAATCGAACCTATGACCCTAGTACTGCCAGGCGGAAATGCTAACCATTTAGCCACTGTGCTGCCCATATGATGGACCAGTCAATCAAAACCTACAAAAATTCAAAAAGAGGAAGGTGGATTCCATATATTGTCTAAGTACTAAGAAGGGAGATGTATACGAGGAGATATTTAATTATATAAATTGCACGAGATTATAAATCCACCAAACCAAAAAAACCTCCAATTAAGTGTCCTCCCATAGATGTGTAACATACTTTACAACTCACGCCTCCTTTGAAATGATATAAAAAAATCTCCCACAAACACTGCTCCCTGAAGATATAAAATAATAGTTATATGTCAATGTCAATCTGAGCAGTTTTCATTTCTACTAGTACAGAGTTGTCCCTCCGGGCTCCGGCAAGATGGCCGCCGGATGTTCAGCATTTTTGCTGCTTGCGTCTGACGTCATGGACACGACCCTCATTCCCACTGGGGACCAGTGCGCATGCCTGGAAACATCTGCCCACACCTGTTGATAAATCCAGAGGGGAAAGAAAAAGGGGGGTGTCTAGATGGAAAAAATGGGGTGTGCTCACAGCCACCCAAAAATTGGCACCAGGTGTGGAATCAGGATTAAGCCCCAATGCCCTGGGCATCTGTCACTCATAAAAATTTGCCCCACATAGACCCACTACAACATGCAACTAGGAAATATAAATCCAGAATGCAGGATCCAGGTGGGAGTGGTCAAACACATTCGGGCAGAAGAACCTGCAAAAACAACCTACAAACATTAACCATTTGCCCTCCAGAGAATTTACCCCCCTTCCTGACCAGGCCATTTTTTGCGATACGGCGCTGCATTACTTTTAACTGACAGTTGCGCGGTCATGCAACGCTGCACCCAAATATGATTTAGGTCCTTTTTCCCACAAATAGAGCTTTCTTTCGGTGGTATTTGATCGCATGTGCGTTTTTTATTTTTTGTGCTATAAACAAAAAAAGTGACAATTTTGGGGAAAAAAATATTTTTGACTTTTTGCTATTAAACATATCCAATAAAAAATTTAAAAAATCAAATTTCGTCATAAATTTACACCAAAATGTATTCTGCGACATGTCTTTGCTAAAAAAAAAAATACCAATATGTGTAAATAAAGCAGTTTACGTGAGTAAAGTAAGTTATAGCGTCTATAAATGGCGGTATATATACTGGGATTTTTTTTTCTTACTAGTAATGGCGGTGATCAGCAACTTATAGCGGGACTGCAGCAGGCATTGCGACACTGGAGGGAACTGACTTGGTGTCACTGACATCCCCAGTGACACCAATACAGTGATCAATGCTAATAAAAAGCACTAACACTGTACTAATGGCACTGGGCAGGAAGGGGTTGACATCTGGGGAGATCAAAGGGTTAACTGTGTGCTGTGTGTGCTTTACACTGTAAGCACACTGCTTTGTATGGCTCTTCTATGCAGAGCCATACAAAGCAGCATGCAGGAGCTGACGGGAGAGAACTGTTGTTTATACAGAAGTCTCTCCCTCATTAGTAATTATTATTATTATACAGGATTTATATAGCGCCAACATTTTGCGCAGCGCTTTATAAAATAATACTCGGTGATCGCCGGGTGTCGGTGAGAAATCACCAGCAGGGACCCGGTGATTGATAGCCGAGGCTGCGAATGGTGGCGCAGATAGGGGGCGTGCGTGCCCCCTACCCAGAACTGCAAAATCACGCATATATACATGATTTTGCTCCCCCGTGCCGCCATGTGGCAGTATTTCTGCAATAGGGTGGCATGGAAGCAGTTAAGCACAAAGTACACAAAAGTAACACTGAATAAATAAAATATGCTGTGTATATAATGCCTATATAGCATAGCTATATCTTAACCACTTAGCCTGCAGGGCACTTCTACCCCCTTCCTGCCCAGGCCAATTTCCAGCTTTCAGCGCTGTCGCACTTTGAATGACAATTGCGCAGTCATGCAACACTGTACCCATATGAAATTTTTATCATTTTTTTTGTGAGAAATAGAGCTTTATTTTGATGGTATTTAATCACCTCTGGGTTTTTTCTTTTTCTTAAACAAACCAAAAACCACTGAAAATTTTGAAAACAAATGTTTTTTCTTAGTTTTTGTTATACAATTTTGTAACTAAGTGATTTTTCTCCTTCACTGATGTGCGCTAATGAGGCTGCACTGATGGACACTGATAGGAGGCACTGATGAGGAGGCACTGGTAGGTGGCACTGATGGGCACTGAAAGGCAGCACGGATACATGGCACCGAGAGGCAGCACTGATAGGCGGCACTGATTGGCACTAATAGGCAGCACTGACTGGCACTGATAGGCGGCACTGACAGGCACTGATAGGCAGCACTGAGCGGCACTGACTGGCACTGATAGGTGGCACTGATTGGCAGCACTGATAGGTGGCACTGATTAGCATTGATAGGTGGCACTGACTGGCACTGATGGGTGACACTGAAAGGCAGCTCAGATGGGCACTGATATGTGGCATTGATGTGCACTGGTAGGCACTGATGTGACACTGATGGGCACTGGCACGAGGCACTGATGAGCACTGACATAAGGCACTGATAGACACTGACAGGTGGCACTGCTGGGGCTACACTGATCATCAGGGCACACTGATGATCAGTGCCCTGATGATCAGTGTACATGTCCCCTCTGCAGAAAGCCGATTACGGGCTCTCCTCTCCAGCTGTCAGTGTGACCTTGAGAGGAGAGAAATGCCGATAACCGTCATTTCCCTGTTTACATGTGATCAGCTGTGATTGGACACAGCTGATCACATGACCGAGCCAACATCTTTGGGTCTTTCCGTGATCGATGATCCGGACACAGCACACTGCTGATCGCCGCGCTGCGCGCTCCCTGAGCCGTGCATGCGCAGTGAGAATGGGAGGACGTCATATGACGTTCTCCCAGAACGAGAGAACCATCTTGCGCCCATCATATTACTATATGGCGGGCGGGAGGTGGTTAAAGATGTTTACAAAATTATTATTATTATTATACAGTATTTATATAGCACCAAAGGGTTTGCTCAGCGCTGTACAGTAGCAAGGGGGACAGAACATGAGACAAGACAGTAACAATACAATACACGAGGGGTTCGAGGGCCCTGCTCTTTCGAGCTTACAATATAAATACAATACATACAAAAAAATGAATATTACAACAAATAACATCATGGAGACCAGCTGGCATTATTAGGCAAGTTAGAGCAACCTACAAAATGGTTTGTAACTGATTGACTCATTGGGGTGGAATTACAAAAAATGGAAAGTGCAAAAGGTGGTGCATCTGTGTATGGTAGCCAATCAGCTTCTAACTTCAGCTTGTTCAATTAAGCTTTGACAAAAAAAAAACCTGGAAGCTGATTGGTTTCTATGCAGTTGCACCAATTCTAGTAAATCAACCCCAATACCTTCTGTTGGCATGTTATTCAGTGTCTGGGTCTCCATGTTTGGCTATTAGGGAGGGTGACCTCCTGACCTTTTAGGATGAACCGGCAATGATTTCTATAGATAGGAAATTGTATGAAACTTAGCTCTGTGTAGTTCAATAATAAGACTTGCAGATGTGTTTTGTGGAATACATACCAGACAAGTATTTTATGATCGGATTCAATGATATAACTGGCTAAATGGTTGTTTATGATGGCTAATAACAAGCTCTGCTGATATGAATTAAAGTCATATTAATAGTTCTGCTAAAAGTAATTTAAACTGGAATGAATTATGTTGTCAAATGTGTTAAATCCTAATGGATGTCTAGTAGAGACAAGAGATTGGTTGTAAAGGCTGAAGTTTTTTACCTTCACGCATTCTATGCATTAAGGTCAAAAACCTTCAGTGTGCAGCATCCCCCAGCCCCCCTAATACTCACCTAAGCCCCCTCTCAATCCAGCGATGTGCACTGGAGTCTCAACTATCCTGGGGGACACCCTCTCCTCATTGGTTGAGACAAAGCAGGAGCCATTGGCTCCTGATGCTGTCAATCACAGCCAGTGAGCCAATGAGAAGAGAGGGGGCATGGCCGAACCATGGTTTCATGTGTGAATGTATACATGGAGCAGCAGCTGGGGAGTGCACATGCTCGAGTGCCTCCAAACTGCTTGCTGTGTGGACACCCGACAGGAGGGAGGGACTAGGAGCACCAGCGGGGAACCCAAGAAGAGGAGGATCGGGGCTGCTCTGTGCAAAACCACTGCACAGAGCAGGTAAGTATAGGCATGTTTGTTATTTTTAAAAAAAGAAAAAATAAGCCTTTAGAATCACTTTAAATCTGATCATTTTCATTTACTTTGCACATTATTAACAATTAAAAGTAAATATAGCTTTAAAACAATCCCCCACTCACTTCTCTAGCTGCAGCAACAAAGACCATATAGTCATATTTCGATAACTGTCTAACAGCCTACAGACTTCTATTTTTTGTTACATTAGAGAGCTGGCAGGCTGCTAAGATTTACTCCCTATAGAAAAAACTAGGATTTCAGTTCTTTTGTTGGGAACTTTGAAAATGAATTTTTCAGCAATTCTTATAGATACAGATATAAATGTTTTACAGTGCTTTAACCACTTTCTGTCCACCTGTCCGCAATGTTCTGCGGATGGGCGGCAGCTACACAGGGGGCACGCAACCCTACCCCCTCACATTCGCTGTGTCTACTGGACACAGCAGAATGAGGAACCCAGTAATCGGGTCCAGGTGATCATGTGATCGTTATGCGATCACATGATCACAATGACAACAAAGCTTTAATGAATCAATCTGATTTATAAAAGCTTTTCTGCTGTTCCTGGGGAGCTGTGATTGGTCCACAGCTCTTACATGACACATGGGGCCAATCACAGCAATCTGTACCATGTTACCAACTGGAGCCAATCAATTAGATTGAATTGTCAGGAACTTTATTGTTCATGCAATGCAAAGTGTTGAAAAAAAAAAATCTCTGATCACCCCCCCTCCCCAGAGTAGTACAATACTACTATGGTAATATTGCACTACTCTGATGAAAGTATTTTTCTTAAATAGTAAAAAAATAACAATAATGTTTAAAAAAAAAATGTTAAAAAAAAATGATTGAGAGAAATTAAAAAATGTCTTGTTTTTCCTTAACTACATACTGCTGGCCTGCCAACAATGTGGGTGAGCGGTGGCTCTGGCCAAAGTGACGTAACCCTACGTCGCTTTGTATTTCCGGGTATGCATCTGCCCCCTATGCCATCCAGGAAGAGAAGAACGAACATAGCACTGAGTAAAAGCACTATATTTTACACTCGTTTGATTAGCACATTTGCCATTAGTACAAAGTCAGTATATAGAATTTTTAACTGATCATTGCATTCCTGCCACTAGTGACATCAGATAGTGTCAGGGTCAGTTAGCGCCCCTCCCAGCCAGTGTCAGCTAGCATTAGATTGCCCGCACACTATCACACTCACGATATACAGTGGGGATCGAAAGTTTGGGCACCCCAGCTAAACATTTGTATTAATGTGCATAAAGAAGCCAAGGAAAAATGGAAAAATCTCCAAAAGGCATCAAATTACAGATTAGACATTCTTATAATATGTCAACAAAAGTTTACATTTTATTTCCATCATTTACACTTTCAAAATATAACAGAAAACAAAAAAATGGCGTCTGCAAAAGTTTGGGCACCCTGCAGAGTTAATATCTTGTACTGCCCCCTTTGGCAAGTATCACAGCTTGTAAACGCTTTTTGTAGCCACTCAAGAGTCTTTCAATTCTTGTTTGAGGTATCTTTGCCCATTCTTCCTTACAAAAGTCTTCCAGTTCTTTGAGACTCTCTGGCCTGTCTGTCAGGCACTGCTCTTTTAAGGTCTATCCATAGATTTTCAATTATGTTGAGGTCAGGAGATTGTGACCATGGCAAAACCTTCAGTTTACGCCTCTTGATGTAATCCCCCGTGGATTTCGAGGTGTGTTTAGGATCATTATCCATTTGTAGAAGCCATCCTCTCTTTAACTTCAGCTTTTTCACAGGTGGCATCAAGTTACCATCCAAAATTTGCTGAAAGTTTATTGAATCCATTTTTCCTTCTACTCGTGAGATGTTCCCTGTGCCACTGGCTGCAACACAACCCCAAAGCATGATTGATCCAACCCCATGCTTAACAGTTGGACAGAGGTTCTTTTCATTAAATTCTGTGCCCCTTCTTCTACAAACGTACCTTTGCTCATTCCGGCCAAAAAGTTCAATTTTAACCTCATCGGTCCACAGAACTTGTTTCCAAAATGCATCAGGCTTGTCTATATGTTCATTTGCAAAGTTCAAACGATGATTTTTGTGGTGAGGACGTAGAAGAGGTTTTCTTCTGATGACTCTTCCATGAAGACCATATTTATACAAGTATCTCTTTATAGTGGAATAGTGTACCACAACTCCAGTGTCTGCCAGATCTTTCTGGAGGGATCGTACAGTCAAACGTGGGTTTTGAATTGTTTTTCTCACAATCCTGCGAGCTGTTCTGTCTGATATTTTTCTTGGTCTTCCAGATCTTGCTTTAACTTCCACTGTTCCTGATGACTGCCATTTCTTAATTACATTCCGAACAGAGGATATTGACATCTGAAAACGCTTTGCTATCTTCTTATAGCCTTCTCCAGCTTTGTGAGCGTCAACTATTTTCAGTTTCAGTTTTCTAGACAACTGCTTAGAAGAACCCATGGTGCTGATTGTTGGGGCAAGGTCAGATGAGTCTGGGCATTTAAAACCTTTGAGATTGACATAACTTGGTCTTCCCAGACGATGATTTAGAACAATCCATGACACTGGCAGGTCTCAGCTTTGCAAAGGGGGCAGTGCATGCTATAAATTCTGCAGGGTGCCCAAACTTTTGCAGACGTCATTTTTTTGTTTTCTGTTATTTTGAAAGTGTAAATGATGGAAATAAAATCTAACTTTTGTTTACATATTATAGGAATGTCTAATCTGTAATTTCATGCCTTTTGGAGATTTTTCCATCTTTCCTTGGCTTCTTTATGCACATTAATACAAATTTTTAGCTGGGGTGCCCAAACTTTCGATCCCCACTGTAGGTTGCTGATCACCATCATTACTAGTGTAGTGTTTGTACAGATCAATATACTGCTCATTAACAGATCATTACTAGTGCCTCCTTTGTATAGTGTCCCCAAAAACGCAGTGTTAGCAGGATCAGCCCAGTTCGCTGTCAGCACTAGTGTTTAGCTTTTCCACTGTTCTTCACGTTAGATTTGTGTCAATTGATTGTGGGCCAAAGCAATTTATATGCACAACACATCACTGCCCACTCAAATTCAGCTCTTGCCAGACAATTTGCATGGAAATCTATCACAGTTTCTGAATTTAAACATTTTTTGGGCCTAAGGCTACGTTCACACTAGCGTTGTGTGCAGGCGGCAGAGAGGCATTTGGGAAGCGTTTTTACCGCTTCCCAAACGCCTCTGCCAATTCTGCACATTACAACACATGGTGCTGTTCTAACGGGAGCGTTTGCGTCGCGGCAAAACGGACACCTCTGGTCGAGTCAGGAGGCGTTGAAGCCTCCTATTCTCGTCTATGGTGCCGCTCCGCAAACGCCCGGCCGGGCGTTTGCGGGGCGGTAACACCACTCAAAACTGCATTATAGGCATTTGTGGGGCGTTATTAACGGTCGGCAAACGCCTAGCAACTGCCGCTAAACCATGCATGCGGCGTTTGCGGAGCGTTTGCCGAGCATTAAAAAGCGCTCCACAAACGCCGGACCAAGGCTTGCCAAACGCTATAGGGGCGTTTGACAAGTGTTGGTAAAACAGCCAAGTGTGAACGAGCCCTTACACTCAACTTGGGCATTACAAAAAAAGATTG